CATACTATGACACAACACAATGGCTTACTTACATACTATGACACAACACAATGACTTACTTACATACTATGACGCAACACAATGACTTACTTACATACTATGACACAACACAATGGCTTACTTACATACTATGACACAACACAATGGCTTACTTACATACTATGACACAACACAATGACTTACTTACATACTATGACACAACACAATGACTTACTTACATACTATGACACTACACAATGACTTACTTACATACTATGACACAACACAATGACTTACTTACATACTGTGACACAACACAATGACTTACTTACATACTATGACACAACACAATGGCTTACTTACATACTATGACACAACACAATGACTTATTTACATACTATGACACTATACAATGACTTACATACTATGACACAACACAATGGCTTACTAACATACTATGACACAACACAATGGCTTACATAGATACTATGACACAACACAATGGCTTACTTACATACTATGACACAACACAATGACTTACTTACATTACTTACATACTATGACACTACACAATGACTTACTTACATACTATGACACAACACAATGGCTTACTTACATACTATGACACTACACAATGACTTACTTACATACTATGACACAATACAATGACTTACGTACATACTATGACACTACACAATGACTTACTTACATACTATGACACAACACAATGACTTACTTACATCCTATAACACAACACAATTGCTTACATATATATTATGACACAACACAATGGCTTACTTACATACTATGACACTACACAATGACTTACTAATATACTATGACACAACACAATGGCTTACATACTATGACACTACACAATGACTTGCATAGATACTATGACACTACACAATGGCTTATTTACATACTATGACACAACACAATGACTTACTTACATACTATGACATTACACAATGACTTACATACTATGACACTACACAATGACTTGCATAGATACTATGACACTACACAATGGCTTATTTACATACTATGACACAACACAATGACTTACTTACATACTATGACACAACACAATGACTTACTTACATACTATGACACTACACAATGGCTTATTTACATACTATGACGCAACACAATGACTTACATACTATGACACAACACAATGACTTATTTACATACTATGACGCTACACAATGACTTACTTACATACTATGGCACTACACAATGGCTTACTTACATACTATGACGCAACACAATGACTTACATACTGTGACACAACACAATGACTTACATACTATGACACTACACAATGACTTACATAGATACTATGACACTACACAATGGCTTATTTACATACTATGACACAACACAATGACTTACATACTATGACACAACACAATGGCTTACTTACATACTATGACACTACACAATGGCTTACTTACATACTATGACACTACACAATGGCTTACTTACATACTATGACACAACACAATGACTTACATACTATGACACTACACAATGGCTTATTTACATACTATGACGCAACACAATGACTTACATACTGTGACACTACACAATGACTTACTGACACAACACAATACTTACATATGACACTACACAATGGCTTACTTACATATTATGACACAACACAATGACTTACTAACATACTCTGACACAACACAATGTGTTACTTACATACTATGACACAACACAATGTCTTACATACTATGACACAACACAATGTCTTACTTACATACTATGACACTATACAATGGCTTACATACTGTGACACAGCACAATGATTTACATACTATGACACTACACAATGACTTACTTACATACTATGACACAACACAATTACTTACATACTATGACACAACACAATGGCTTACTTACATACTATGACACTACACAATGTCTTACTTGCATACTATGATACAACACAATGGCTTACTTACATACTGTGACACTACACAATGTCTTACTTACATACTATGATACAACACAATGACTTACTTACATACTATGACACAACACAATGGCTTACTAACATACTATGACACAACACAATGGCTTACTAACATACTATGACACAACACAATGGCTTACTTACATACTATGACACAACACAATGACTTACTTACATACTATGATGCAACACAATGACTTACTTACATACTATGACACAACACAATGGCTTACTTACATACTATGACACAAAACAATGACTTACTTACATACTATGACACTACACAATGACTTACATACTATGACACAACACAATGACTTACTTACATACTATGACACTACACAATGGCTTATTTACATACTATGACGCAACACAATGACTTACATACTGTGACACTACAGAATGACTTACTTACTATGACACTACACAATGGCTTACTTACATATTATGACACAACACAATGACTTACTAACATACTGTGACACTACACAATGTCTTACTTACATACTATGATACAACACAATGACTTACTTACATACCATGACACAACACAATGACTTACATAGATTCTTTATTTTGCTTACCAGGGATACAACAGCGAAAATAGTACAACAAAAGATCAACTGATGAACGTAAGTGTCTTCTTATATTTTATCATGCCGATGGCGTTCATTGCTTTGAACATTGTTTCAAGTTAAGAACGTAGTAAATTTATGTGTACCGACCAAGAATTGCATTAAATGTCGGGCGTCGTCACTGAAGCAAGAGACGCTTTCTCTTCAGAAACACATGGGCGCATTTCCCTTTAACTATTTCCCCATGTAAATCTTCCTGTTGGTAATATTTTTCTGCCCTTTTATTGATATTTTTGTTAGATAAATTTGATAACATTACGGTATTTTTTTTATTTTGACTGTTAAAGACAATAAATACATCTTTCATAACATACGTAAAAAGTTATATTCTGTTCTAAATTTAGTATGTACATTACACGATATGTCAGCTCTCTTTATTGTTTACTGATCAATGATTCCTCGTGAAATAAATAATCATCTCAAAGTGAAAAAGATAAGAAAATTTAAGTAAAGAACATACAAGTTATTGTTTACATCCTAAATGTCATATTGCTGCTGCTAACGGCACGATGGATACCGTTAATGATTGTTATTTCAAACGATAATGACATTTCCAAGTAGGTTTGATTGCCTCAATAATGTCAATGTTTAATACTTAAAGTATTATAATTGCCAAATAAAAATATTGTAAACTACTATGATATTAATGCGAATTGAACAAATTAAGAGATAATTTTTTTTTTTTTTTTTTTTGATATTGTATAGGAATTATCATGTTGATATCTTTCTGAAATTATTATATATCTATTATATGATATTACATAATGTTATTACAAAAGTATTGTTTTTATCAACCATTCATAACCTTATATATAAATACACCCCAGAAAAATGCCGAGTTGATGAAACAACTGCGAGGATCTGTTACAATCGGGGCGGACAAAGCATTGAACTCGGCCGATACCAACTGTGTTATCGAGAATGTAAAGACATGCATGACAAATATGGCTATTGTCAGCGATTCAATACTGGTAAGAGAACCCAGAGTTTGTGTATATGTCTATGTCCATTTCATGGCGGTGATATTCTTTTATTTTTTTTTTTTTTTTCTTCTTCTTCTTCTTCTTCTTCTTATTTTGATAGTGATCAGAAGTAAATTGCATGTTCTTTTTTATTATTGAATTAAATATTCCAAAATATGAGATAATCTATAAAAGATTTTAAAGAAACTCCAATATAGCAAACGTAGATATATTTATGTGATACACATTTTTTCAGGACGGCGCTGTAGAGACGGCCGAGGTATTAACAAGAGATCTGGAAGCTTTAGTCGCCAAGAGACCATTTCCAGTTGAAGATCTTTACAACATAATGAACGGCATCTTGGGTAATGTATCAGAAACTTAAATATAATTCATCATAAATGTAAGAAATTTAAGACTATTTGAATCGTGGTTGCAATGATTGAAAGTGATCATTTGAAGAGGAACATAACCAATATCGCAGGGAATATTTAACGCGAAATTCCAGAATCTTTAAGCAATAATAATTGAACGTGTCCATATATTATAATCGATTGCATTTACTTCCTTGAATTTATCATGTTGAATTTAAACTATTTGTTATTGATTCCTACATTTCTCAATTCGATACCGTTAATATAGCAGTGGTATAAATAAAGATAAAACATTCAGATGTTTTGCTGTGTTTTAGCTTACTTAGTTGAACATGCAACTCGGCATTGCATCATATGGCTTGTAGCAGTTAGGAAAATATTGAAATGTTGAAACTGTATAGACATGAACCGTCAGATACTGACTGAACCATGAGTGTCTCTTTGTGTCTATTGTGAACAGGAACATTAGATATCATTGACACCTCCATTACTGGAATCGTCCCTGAAGTTTTGATAGACCCAGACAAACAGATTCTGATAGAGGACATACGATTGGAGTACAACATAAACAATCCACCAGTCAACAACACGTTAACAGACGAAGAGTTACAAGAGAGAGAGGCTATCATACAAGAAATATATGAGACCCGTATTCAGCAACAGGAAAGTGTCAGGCAAAGGTCTAAACAGGTAAATCCTAGATTCGGAAGGTTGAAATATGGTATGTGATCAGTTATTTTGCAATGTGCAAATATCTTCTTTTTTTTTAATGTACCACCGAATCCCGTTTTCATCACAAACTTTGTAAAGATAAAATGGCAAAAATCAATACAATAACATTACACTTTACAATAAGAAAGAAAAAATAGTACCTGGTTCAAATTTGCAAGCCTACCTACCAAATCACGATATGCAACCTTGGCTACCAGACAAATGGAATCAGTCTGGTATTTGTTCTGTTTTATACTTGTGACTCCATTGGCATTACAGGGATAGTATTGCTGATATGACACCAGACCTATGTTCGCTTTCTTGTTTTCAGGCAAATGATACCGTTCCAAAAATGGTTCATGCTTTAGAAAATTCTCAAGATATTATCGGTAAAACGCTTTTGCCCGGTGAACCAGAAAAGGTTATTGAGAGGGACAATGTTATTCTATCCGTCCAAAAAATGACTGGTGATACACTTAACAATTCAACGGGATTTAATAGAACAGGGATTCGGATGGAGTTGAATCGTAACACGACAGAGGAGGCTGACGAATCAGAGGAATTAGAAGTTCAGGTAAACACGTATCTGTTGTAACTTTGTCATAAAAGTCGTGTATCAGATTGAGCACAACAAAGAGTAACAGTTCGTAATATTATTTGTCCTGACACAAAAAAATAAATTTATTTTTATTGTTTTTTTTTTTTTTTTTTTATTTTCTTTAATTTAGAGGATAATGTAAACTCGCAAAAACTAGATACAATGAAAAGATGAATCTACCACAAAAAAAAAATCTCACTTTCCATACTCCTGTGGAAATGGTAAAACCACGAAAATCGGAACATTAAAAAACAACATCTATCTATTTTACGGAGCAAAAGTTGTTTCTTCATCAATTATGTCTTCCTCTTTAACTGATTCTAAAAATATATTGTTTTTTTAGACGGCAGTCTTCAACAAGATACCGCATTACCATGGCACTGGGTCAACCCAAATTACCTCAAAGGGCATCATGATCGCTATCAAACAGAGCGACGGCACCCGTAAAAATGTCACTATGGATATGCAAATTTCAAATGAAGGTGTCGCTTTTGCAAAAAGATACCAGCCAATTTATCTAAAAGACGATCCTGACCAAATGTTGTATTTTATGTTTAACGTCATGAGTGGAGACGATGCTGTCCTATTTTATATCCAACCGGACAATTTCAACCCGTTTGATTTCGCCTCTTACGGATTGTATGACGTGTTTGCTCGGAGCTTTGAATATCCTTCAACTTCAACATTTGACTGGTCCTATAGCATGAATATAAGGGATTGGGTAGATGATCAAAGCGGATTTAAGATATTTATTCCAGCGAGAGTACTAAAAGCGGGAAAAGGATATGTAGCTTTGAAACCAATTCCAGGTAAGAATTCATTGAATAAAGCAAAACTTGTGATAAATAAGAAAAGTTGAACACATCGTGACCAAACTTAAATCTTGTAGGAAAAAGTGTTAACAGGCATAACTGTTTCTCGGGGATCGCCAATCCCTGTCCCGTCCATTGGAACTTTTAGCTATTTAGATATGAAAAATAATGACGTATTCGCCTACGGGTATATTTCCTACAGTTAAAACCGCGATGATGTACACTATTTACGGTTTATGTGTTAACAGCGCCACCGCTTCCAGAGATCAGTAACAGGATGAGAAGGAGACGGTCAGCAAACGTCAATCAAACTTCAACCAATCAGACTGCGGCTTCCAATTCGTCTCAAATATTCGAACCTGCTGACGTCAACTTCACCATGGTCATCGTTACCACCGGCTGCCGCACTTGGAATGATGAAGGAGCGCTGTGGACATCTAACGGCTGCGAGGTAAATACTCACATGCAAATATCATATCACATTAAAAGTATCATGTTTTGGAAAGAAATCAAATATACCGAAAGTAATTATGAAATGTCTTTTTTTTTCGTAGGTTCTACCGTTTTCTACAATGAACGAGACGGTCTGTCGGTGTTCGGACGAGACAGGGAATATATTTGCAACAACATTTTTCGTTCCTCCGAATACTATTGACTTCAGTGGTGTATGGTCGAAATTTGATCCTACAAATGCAGCTGTCTATGGAACGTTATCTTGTCTCTTGGTTTGCTATGTGTTGCTCTGTGTCTGCGCTCGTCGTTACGACAGGAAAGATTTATTAAAGGTTCGGTATTATATTGTTAACTGTGTTATCAACAGCTATGGTCATTTTAGGATCCTTATTCTTATGAAATATAAGGTAATATAAGTTACATTTTTAGTGACCTTAACTATATTCTGACAATCTTCTATGTCCTCTCATAAATAGAACTCTTCAATATTGTTGCCAAATTCGAAGACTGAAATTATGAAAATAAACTGATTAGTTTTATTACCTGATGTTTCTTATTTCAAGTGGACGACACATTTCTTGAGTGACACCGATAGATATGATTCCTATTTTTATGTCATCAACGTCACAACGGGCCTACGAAGTCAGTCAGGTACCAAATCAAATGTGAGTTTTGTAGTGGCTGGGGAGAATTCAGACTCCGGAGTAAGAATCTTAAGCGACGGGAAATCACAGGTATGTTTCCTTCAGCCAATCAAAATGTCATTGTTATGTTCAAATTTTGAAAATGGAATAATTCATGCCAAACATCTAATATCATTATCTTTTATCCCAGGGCTTTGAACACGCTTGTACCAAACGTTTTATCATGGGAACAACAGAAAGTCTGGGTGAACTGAACTACATCAGAGTGTGGCATGACAATTCGGGTTCTGGTGGCGAACGTTCTTGGTATCTCAGCAAAATCACAATAGATGACCCACAGACCCGTAAAAGGTATACTGTCGGTATATTGAAATGCTAACATATCGATACTAGAACTAAACTTTTTTGCGGTTAAAGCAAATTCATTTAAATGTGTTGAAACCATAAACAACACATTAACAACAGCAGAATCCTATTTACTTGCTACTTGTTACAAACATATTTTCAAAATGATCACCATTGATTATGTTATACATGGCGGATAAAGGGAATGAAAACTTTACTGGGATCGGCCTACATTTATCTGATAATACAGAAATCAAACAATATGGTTACAGATACACGTATCGTAAGATTCTCATTTTTCAGATATGTATTTCTTTGTGACAAATGGTTGTCATATGATCACGACGACGGGATGATTGATAGAATCCTGCCTGCTTGTGGACAAGATAATCTGAAGAAATTTGATGTTATGTTCTACCAACGCGCAAAACAGGGCATAACGGAAGACCACCTATGGCTGTCAGCGTTGATGAGACCGGAAAGAAGCAATTTCACTCGAGTACAGAGGATATCCTGTGTAGTTATGCTGTTGTTCCTTACTATGATAACGAATGCCATGTTTTTCTCGCCAAACGAAAGCGACCAGACCGGATCAGTGTCCATTGGAAACCTTACGTTTTCACTGAAGAGCGTTTACGTATCTATCGTAGGAACTCTCATCACAACAGTTCCAGTTGTGCTTGTTGCATTGTTGTTTTCTAACTCCAAAACGAGGCCACGGAAACCAAACAAATACAAGACAAGAGATGAATATTCTGATGACATGTTCTATACGGATGACAATTTACCATTGCCATCATTCGTGCGTTACATTGCTTGGATTATAGTTTTTCTGGCTATCATTGCGTCGTCCTTCTTCCTGCTACTTTACAGTATGGAATGGGGGAAAACGGCATCAGAAGCGTGGTTGGTCTCTTTCGTTTTCTCGTTCCTTGAATCATTTTTGTTCGTCGATCCTCTAAAGGTAATTGTACATTTTTGATTCTGTTCTGATAAAAACAAAACACAGATGAGCAGTGATTGAAATCACTATCGAGTATTTATTTCGTACGACTGAGGCGCGATCATTTAGCAGATGAATTAAGATTGCATCTTTGTATTTCCTCTGCCAAAACCAATTAAAGTAATTTAAATTTAGGACATACGACAAATATCTTTTTTGGTGTCAGCTACGTAAAATTCGACAAAACCTGATACATACCAGATACTATAAAGCATAAAATTTATCAGGTCTTCCAAGTTGCGTTTCGAGGAGGGATTTTTTTTTTTTTTTTTTTTTTTTGTTAATTTGAGCTTTATTTTTTGTTCCAGGTTGTGTTTATTGCTGCAGTATTTGCATTTATATGCAGACGACCAATGGACTGTCAATCATCTAACGTCAATCTCGAAGAAATAAAGAGAGTCTCAAAAACGTTCACCGGAAGTTCAATGAGAACATACTTATGTGAGTGTTTGATTCTTTACACAAAGGAACATAGGGTAGACATTTCATACTTCATACACCCTCAACATATTTTAACACGATCATTAAGTGTATTTCCGTTTGATCTTGTTTTTAAGGGATATACAGCACAACTATTTTCATAAAGAAAAACTCACAGACGAATCTACATATTTTTTAATTTCACGCCTCAGTTCACCATATCAACGAGCAATAAGAAATAAGGAAAGCTATGAAATGCCGATCACAGTAAAAATAATGTGTAAACAACTCGCAGATTTGTGTTTTATCCGATACTTCGCTGAGAACGTATGATCAAGTCAATGACTGAATTCCGTATTCCTCATTGGCTATATTTAGACAGTCTGGAATGGGGTATTTCTATCAATTAGCATGTCTAAACTGACCTTAGGAAATACTATTTCTGATGCTATTAAAAGGTTTTAAAATGTCTAACAAGAGTTCAAAAAGGGTACAAAACAAATAGAAGTTGACAGATTTATGTTGAATAAACATATAACAATAATTCGGACAAAGAATAAATCAAATTTTCAGTATGCATTTGATCGGTCTTCGAAAGGTACACGCAAAAGATTAAAGCTGATTTTCCCGTTTTATCTATGAAGGCTTCCGAGAGGATATACTGAGTGAGAAAGATGAGTCCAAAGATAATGAAATGGCTAAAGCAAGGGACCAATGTCTGAAGGAGCAGCGAGCTGTGAAGGTTTTCATAGAACTTCTCTTCTATGTTGTCTTCGCCTTCATCATTTACAGCATTAGCTATGTAAATCGAGACCAAAGATCGTTCGCACTGAAGGATAACATATATCGCAGTCTCAACGATTCGTATGGCCAATACGGTTATGGTAAAGTGAGTACTATGACCGCTCGTGATAACATCTACATCAATTTCAAGCAAGTTGTTATCAATATCGTACAAAAGAGTATTTTCCGAATATCTCATAAACACAACTCCTGTTTACAGATAAAACGATGCTGTGGTACTTTTTCGCAGTTTTTTTTTTTACATATTCCTATTGTTTACTGACTGTTTTCTTTGGTGACGGCATTACTTAATTCTAAATTACTGAATTCAATCTTCTAACTATAAGCAAAATTATACTAAGACCCAATATGCAATGGGAGTGGCGATTGCTCTGTAGCTGATAAAGGTTTGAAAATGAAACAAATCTTATTCCAAAAACTATATTTTATAAAATTATTTTTAAATATCTTTCTTGAAGATAAGCGATGCCAGCGGATACATGAAATGGCTGAATGAGACATTTTATGAGAAATATTTTCCCGAAAATGACTACAACGGTGAACCACTCGATGTGAGGGACCGCTTATTCTTCTCTGGTTTAGACAATGTTAAGATTGGTCCTCCACGATTGAGACAAGTCAGGATGAAAAGAGGTGAGCTAAAATAGAAACTGCCATAGCAAATTAACTACAAGATCATCGAAATTCAAAATAGCATTGAAACCTGATCAAGAAAATTATTCATTACACGCACCATCTTCCCTCAGATGAAAAATACATAGAAAAATATATTCCCATTCGCATGGCGATGCTGCAATAGACATGTAATCTTACCTGAAAAGAATAAATTTAGGTACGATCCAACGTCATCATTTTGAATGCTGAAATTTTGCTAATACTCAAAGACGTCCAAAAAATATGAATAACAGTATTTTCATGTCTCTGTATTTTCAAACATGTACAAGTATACGGTTTCTTCTATAGGAAAATGTCCTTATTCGAGACTTATTGAGAATCGAGACTGTATTCCCGGCTACAACATTTACGAGGAAGACGAACAATCGTATTGTATTGGGTGGAATGATGGCTCGTCGGCGATTTGCAATAGTCCGAATTTCTACTCCATGGATGCGTGGCGTTACCAACGGTCCGAGGAAATTTGGGGCACACCTATAAAAGGCGAATACGAGACATATGGTGGAGGAGGATACATCCTCAAGCTTGAGAATGGGCTACAAAACTCCAGATATATAGCAGAGGAACTCGTAAAATACCACTGGATAAACAGAGCAACAAGAGCGATTTTCCTGGAATTCACTCTATACAATGCAAACACTAATCTATTTTTGTATCTGATATTCTTGACGGAGTTTACTGAAAATGGCGGCCTTCTGACATGGGTGGATGTCTATCCCTTCCGGCCGTACCAACATACTGGGGCCCTTGGAGCGTATGCAATGCTTTGCTACTTCGTATACCTTATTGTCTTAATCTATGGAACAGTGAAATTAATCAGGAAAATAACGAAAGAACGACTACGATTTTTCTTGGATTTGTGGAACATTACCGACTTTTCTTGCGTGGTACTGAGTTACATTGGTGTGGTTTTGTGGTGTCTTCGTTATATCTATGCCTCTCAATCCATGGCAATTTACTATGATGACATAGATGCATTCATCAACTTTCAGCACGTTGTAGTATGGGACGTGTCTTTCAATGTAATAATTGGCATCATCGTTTTCGTTGCTACGATACGGCTTTTAAGGATGATGGGATACAACAAACGGATGACGCAGCTTGCAAGTGTTATATCACACGCTTCATCCGAATTAAGTGGTTTCGCTCTGATTTTTGGAATTGGATTTTTTGCATGGGTGATTCTTGGCTATTTTTTGTTCGGATCCACTATGCACGAATACAGAAGTTTATTTTCGACGTGGGGCAGCCTAAGTAATTCATTGATAGGGAAAAACAAACTTGATGCTATGACACGGGCTGCTCCAAACTTTGCCAATTTTTACTTCTTCACATATGTGGTGTTTGTCATGCTCATTCTCATGACTATGTTTGCTGCGATCCTCAATCAGAGTATTTCAACTGTGAAGGCAGACATACACAAACAGCCTGATACGTTCGGCATTCTGGACATATTTAATAAGTACATCAATGGACTTCGGAGCTTTATTTTCAGGAATAGAAATGACAATGTGAGACATCACGAAAGAAGACGCAGTAAGTGTGAAAGAATGTTACCTTCTTAATCCGTTTTAAACTTGTTTGAAAACAAATCTTTAAGAAAACTCAGTTTCTTTTTCTTCAGTTTACGGATTTACCGGAAAACCGTGAAAATGAAGTTTATTTAAATATCCCTTGTAGGAAATAATTACCGGGTTGGAAAGTTTTGCGAACGCATTTAATTCTCGAAAGCACCTCATCGCGATTATATCGAACAGGTCAGCATTTATAGCGACGGTATGGTTTTAATGAAATAAGCTGAGTATGGATTAACGAATTTAATTTAATAGTCATCATTATATTGACTAAATAGATAGTCGTTTTCTTGTATTTACACATTAGGCTGCGATAGCTTAGTCGGTATAATGTTGGGCTACGTAACATCAGGTGAAGATCCGAGATGCATGGTTAGGGTTTATGCTAGGAAACGGACCGCTCTATGTTGTTGTAGTTTTGTCATTTGGCAAGACAATTTACCGTAAGACCTGCAGATGAAAAGTGACGGACATCCAGTACGTGTTTCATTTAAGTAACCACCAACAACTATAGGATACTCCTCCTCAAAATGTCCTTGGCTCTGAACGCGACGATAAATCCAGCAAAACAAACGAACGTTATTACAAACATATAGAGTGTTTTGATAAAGATAAAGTATTATGACTATGAACATGTTATTTATGAAATAGTTTCTTTCTATTGTTTTTATGTGTAATTCGGATTGTGTATAAAGCTTATTGTTTGATTTCTTCGGACATTTTTATCTTGTACTATCACTATTTCTCGAGTGTTTTTTTCATTTTTTGTAGTTATTTTTTTATCAAATCGTGAGTTCACAAATCATTAAATTGTTTTAAGACAAGGGATGGATTTTAGTGTAAGAATTTTTTTGAGACTTTTTATTAACAAAGCCAAGTACAGACGAAATATTTTTTAAACTGCGAACTCTGTACCAGGTGAATCTATTTATATGATTGTACATCAGCATAACGTTCTTGAAATGTACCTTCAAGTCATTGAGATAGAAAATACAAAATGCAGGACAGAACGTTTAGGGGTTTGTATCCAAATCCGGAGGTCGTTCTAATTTTTACCGCTTCTTTGCAGTTTACAACCCTGGCAGCGGACAACCTCGTCCAAAAATGGACACGACCAATATTATGAGAACCGTGCGAGATATCTTCGGCTATACATGGGATGACGAGGTCAGTTCACTTGAACATTATTTTAAAGTCCGCATGAGACTATTATCTTATTAATCGCATGGTATAACTGTTTAGATATTGTCGCAATTTCCCTTGCATTTGTTAGATGTACATTTTGCTTTTGAAAAGTCAAAGGTGTTCATTTTAGTTCACATAAAGTTTGCTATTAGGTTTATCATGTACTCTCTGCTTACCAGTCATCAATACATTGATAAATGGACCTGCTCGTTTGCATCTATCTGCTTATAATATTGGCTTAAGCTACACCAGTTGTGTTTTGATATACCATTGCTTTGACTTTTCTAGGAATGCGACGAACCTGTACAATCGTTTGATGACATATGCCTAGATGTCATGCCACAATACGATGACTCTAACATGATTGGTTCACATGGGTTCAATATGTATTGTCATGAGGAGAAAACCAGTCAAACGGACGAATATATCGATGCGCTCTTATTTTGTAAGGCACCATTAGAGAGGTCAAATACACTTCCTCTTCCAGGAAAGAAAAAGGATCCCTTACATTTATCATTTTTGTAAGTTTGTATCTCTGGCAGACGTATACCACCTCTAGCTTGTAATCTTACTTTATCATGTACATAGATTAACTTCGTACATACTTTAATGTGCCTATTTAAACCATTAAACTTCCTTACGGAATGTATGTAAGTATTCATCGAAAGGGACTAATGACACGAAAAGCTAGTTGTTTTTCACGGTTATGTTGTAAGGATCATCATATAGTATTTATATATGTTTCATTATGTTGCTTTTTCATCTGTGATAATGAACATTCTTGGAAATTTTTTACAAGGTTATCATACATTTGTGTGAATTTTAAGAGACTTTAACTTTTAAATTTTCAATGTTGCTTTGAATTTATTTGTGCACGTGTCGTGCTGTCTTTATTAAATGCTTTTATTTCTTTAAATTTGTATTATTTATATGTATCGCAATAGTTGAAGAAATGATATGTACGGACGAAAATTAAAATAAATCAAATCATTGGGCACCCTCGCAATGAGTCTCTCATGTGCATCGTTGTTATCCGGGAGACTTTGCCTTCATCCGTTGGCGCTACAATTTCTGACCGCTTAACATACAGGCCAGGATTTGGTCCATCGTGGTTACTTTTAAAATGATTCTGACTTGATTTTCCGAAATGAGATCTTTTCATAGCGAACGAAAATTCAGCTGCCTTGCTCGTGAAATGTTATGTTCATAAATGATAACAAAGGAGAGGCTAGGGTATCGTCAACACCTTTTATTCCATAAATAGCACAGCAGTGCATACACAAATACGAACATCTTCCCATCACTCACATTGACATCAACATTCAGGCATTAAGGCAGAGTTCATCATAGATAGTTTGCTGTATGTTTACCGCAGCATCACTTGCATCATAAGGTATGCAAACTTTCTTTGGAATTCTTTGTTTCGGCCGATGAAACCAAATTTGTGATCTCGCCAAAGCATATGAAATACAGAAAATGATAAACAGCGAATGCTTTATAACAAAAGATCCTTCGGACGCGTTTTGTTTCATCGTTTCAATTTCACTGCCAATCACCAGATTTTAATGCCCCCCCCCCTTTTTTTCTTAATCCCTTAATCCCAGTTTGGTATCACCCATAATGACAAATGATGGCAGAGTAAGAGTTCATCAGAAATGAAATCATGAACATATATTCCGCTTGATCTAGCGTGATCAAGTATAGACTTTGGCTTAAGTTGGATTTCGTAATTAAACAAACATAAGAAGGTCATAAAAGCAAAATCGACAATTTCAACAACTGAACCGAAATACGAACATTGGTACAAACCTTATTTAACACAAAATGTTATTTCATATGGAGTACTAAAAGCGACTGTAAATAAATAATAATAATGACTGTAAGAAATTCATTCCGAAAGTTGCAGTCTTGTGTTCTTAACACAATGTACTATATACATTTTCTAAATAGTGTATTTTTTGTGAATAAATAAAACTGGGTTAAAGTTGAAAGTTTGTCATTATATGATCGAAAACAAACTAAAAAGGAAAACAAAAAACGTACAGGCCGTCATGTACGTTCTATGTTCTAGGCTCTCAATACATTTCATTCTTGTAAATATTTAAATTTAAACAGAATATATATTTTTGATAGCAGAAAATCATACCATTATTAGGTTCCCTCCAAATCGTTGTACAAAATCGTTATGATATTGAGTATATTGAGTATAATGAACATAATTCCAATGTCACATTTACACCATAATAGAATTCCACTAAAAACATATAATTGAATAATAATATTTTCCTCTATGCATCCAGCATACAACAGTATTATAGTATACGAATATCAGTGGATATTAACAATAATATACAGAAGAAAAACATTTGTCTTCCTTGAAGATTGGTATTTAATCCACACATCTCCCTTAAGTTAACTCAAAACATGATATATTTACCAATGAAAATAAAACATCTTTCATTACTACATTTACACTGAGTGTAATTCACAATCATGATGATATTATGCCAGTTACGTCTAATGTGATCGTGCGGCACCTGAAATATATATTCGAAAATGAAGATTTAAAAAGTAATCTCTAAAAATTGGATATAAATGAAACTCGTGAATGAATCTAACCTGTTTGAAGATGGTCAGTTCAAAAGAAATTGTAACAGCAAATTTGGACCCGATGTAATGGAATGTATCAAATATCATACTTTGAAAATATTGGTCCAAAGATGTTATGTCTGAAGTAAACTTTAAATATCACGCAGGTGGAATTTGCATTAAAAATAAATCGTTTATGAAGGAATTCCTTTCAACGACAAGTGAAAACACACTAGCACCATCTACTTAGTTTTTCAATGATTGCAAAGAAACATTTCTCTCAAATACGTAGTTTTTAATGGAACTATCCATAATAATATATTATGTTTAGTGCCACACAAACATACGTATGTTTATAATACAATCCATCACCATTATTACTACTAATATACATAACAATGTATAACTGGTTGATTCTATTTTTATTTGAAATCTGCGACAACGCAGATCTGTTATAAACCAGTTACACAGTGGAGTTTGCAAATTGTGATCTTCCACCTATCACATTAGACAATCGTGATCTTCCACCTATCACATTAGACAATTGTGATCTTCCATCTGTCACATTAGACAATCGTGATCTTCCACCTATCACATTAGTCAATTGTAATCTTCCACCTATCACATTAGTCAATTGTGATCTTCCATCTGTCACATTAGACAATTGTGATCTTCCACCTATCACATTAGACAATTGTGATCTTCCACCTATCACATTAGACAATTGTGATCTTCCATCTATCACATTAGACAATTGTGATCTTCCACCTATCACATTAGACAATCGTGATCTTCCACCTATCACATTAGACAATTGTGATCTTCCATCTGTCACATTAGACAATTGTGGCTAAACGCGGTGAACTGGTGAAGTAAAGTGTGTTGATTTATATTTTTTTCATTCCTTATTTTTTTTTATATTTGTAAAACACGTTATCTTCATGTCAAGTTTAATCAATCAGAAATGCGTTATTACGATGGCACCATTAATATCATTAACAGTCTGTATTAGTAAATGAGCCCCCTGCACAATAAGATATAAATCATACAGGTTACAATGGGTTCTATTTTTGTCAACTAATGCTATACTGAAACAAAGATCACGTTATCATTAACACAAAGAGCAATCAAATTTATCATATATTACGCATTGAATTATATCTATTAGAAACAAACGGCATTTATAAGCACTTTCGAATATTATTAGACACATTCGAAACCCTTTGTATTACAATAAAGATAAATTCAAAACAAATAAACGAGGAAAATGAGAGTTGTTATATATTGTCATGGATTTTTAATAGGTACTTCAACTTTCATTCAGCCGTAAGTGTACTCCCCTTGCGGCAAACAACTTAACACGCATAGCAAGGCTTATCGCAGAGAATAATTGATTGTCATATCAATTATCTTTCAATAATTCATGAAATCCGCTGCTGGTTACAAAGACTATAAAACACGTAAATCATTAACCGATCAACATATATAGTTTCGCTTCATTGTAATCGGTCAATGAAAACATGCACATGGGACTTAACGTTCATCTGAGGCACAATGTTTCTTGTAACAAGATATAGAAATGATTTGATTGATAAAAGTGACATAACTTTAACTTTACCTATAATGCAAATCTAAGTTGTGTATTCATTAACTGCTGTCCCATGCTAAGGCTTCTAATCAAGTTTGAATTAAAAGAAATTACACTCTAGATTTGAATTTTCCTATATAAAACTTTCTATCCAGAAACAGTAAAACATCGTTGAAATTTCAGTCAATTTGACCTCTTTTTTTGGCCCTTTTCTGAACTTTTTCTGAAAAAAATATTTTTTGCTCTCAAATGTAATTTACCTATGTAGTTAATTTCACTCACTCCCAAGGGAGAACGCGAGACCCTTGGGTCATGAAATTTGCAACTTGGTTCAACAATACCTTGGATTTGAGATTATGAAATTTCAATCAATTTGACCCAATTTTGACCCCGCCCAAAATCCGAGGTCAATATATGCCTCTCAAAAATTAATAATTGAATTAATAATTCAAGCAGGGTTTGAAATATTTCTAATAGAATATAAACAAATAGTATTCAAAAATGTGATTTTTTCCTTGATTTACTTCAGTAAAATTTACTCCCTCCCCTGGTAGAAATGTGAGACACTTGGGTAATGAAATTTACAATTTTGCAACAGCATTTTAAAACCTTTCCATCCATGAAGAGTACTTAATTCTGCTATATCTGGGTTTCGAGAAGGTTTTTGAATTTTCTGTCAATTGAACCCATTTTGATCTCGTCCAACAGCCACTGGGGGCAAGCCACGTCAATATGTGTATCTCATTAAAGTCTCATCTTCAACTAATAATTCTACCCAGGTTTGAACTATTTCCTATAGAAAATTAAACAAATAATGATCAAAAATGAAAATTTCCAATATAAACATCAGTAAACTTTACCAACTGACCAAAGGAAAATGGGAGATTCTGGAGTAACGAAATTTATAATTTTGCTGAAGAATTTGAAAGTCTTTCCATCCATAAAGAGTACTTGATTCTACCAATCCTGGAATTTGAGGAGATTGTTCAATCAATGTGACCTTTTCTGGCCCGCCCTTCAGGTCCCTAGGAGTTGGGGACCATATAATTTCCAATTTTGGTGCGCCCCTAGCCGTGCAGGATTTTTGTAAAATTTCATTGAAATCGGTTATTGGGTTTTCCTGAAGAAGTCCAAAGTGTTAAAAGTTTACGACGCACGACGCTGGACAAAAGGAGATTATAATAGGTCACTCTGAGACTTTGTTTCAGGTGACCTAATAAATCGACTTAACAATTTCTACAAACGATCGTTGTCCCAAGTTTTGTGTATTACACATTAAAGTGATTCAGTGCCTTTAAAACTAAGACATGTCCCCATTTGAGATAGGAATGTTTTCAGTAAACACCTAAAACTCCATTAAGTCGATTGGAACGAACAAACAGGTACTATACATATATTGTTATATTCCATATCAAAAGCACAATTCCCATCATACCATCATAAACAAACATAAGAGTATTGGAATTTTACATCGTTCTTATTCCATATTGCTCTTTATCAATGTGATAAGTATTGATAAACATTTTAAACTATCCGTAACTTCAAAGTAAGACTGTCATTTTTCACAGTTATGCTTCCGTACAAATTGGGCTAGACATATTACGACCTTGTACTTTCAACACCATTCCAGACACATGTCTATGTTCTTATTTCCTGATCAATGTCCAAAGAATGCTTATTCACAGAATGCTTTGAACGGGATAAGGTAAGCGTCACCTTGATGAAAATTCTTGGATCTTCATCTCCGCTGCCAACAGATGTTCAGTATCGTCTGTGGTTTCTGCCGTGACAAAGTCATTGTCCCACTCTAGATCTGTGGAATTCACAGGACTGTCTCTGCTTTTATGAACAAATGCAGTCACTAAATTTTCTTCTGTTGATGATCTGGTTTTCTTTTGAGGTACAACGCCTGAAAAAGTGTTAATCTAGATTTTAAAAATATGCGGATAAATAGTATTAAAATTCCATTGACCTCATATAACAGTCAGACTATATCTTTTACTTTCGTCTAGTCTTCGAAAGCATTATTTAGATTGGAATTCATAGCTTATTTCCTAATCATTCCACTCTGAAAACATTAAGTGTTAAAAACATGTTAAAGTCACATTACTTTAATAAGACAATAACACCAATATCTGATCGCTACATTTAAAAAACAATCACAATCACTCTGGTGATATCAAACATTGTTCAGGACCCTATCGTATTTCCAACAACAACAAAAAGGAAAAAATATTTCACATCTGATATCTGCTCATGGATACCAGTAATAATATGATCGAACTATATTGATTCAGACCACGGTGACCAGCCCTTTCTCATTGCCTTCGGACTATCAGGAATTCGGTCAAATTTCAAAAACGATAATTGCTACACTAAAACAATCATTATATTTAGGTCATGGCAACTACAGCAAATGTCAATCACATTATAAGCATGATATTAATATCTACATTAACATACACCAATTAGTGTACACAAAGGAAAAAGGACACGGCTGTTAATTGATTTGTACAGCTATTGGTAATATTTATCGATTACAACACACGGATCAACGAACCTTCCTCGTGTTCCCACTCAAGGTCGAGAGATGAGCCCTCTGTATGCGATCGATCCCTCGTCTGAGTTGTCCCTGAACTATTTGAGCTTTGGCCGTCACCTGACCCTAATGGAAAGTAATGAAAAGATTTGTAGCACTGTTCATAAAAAAACAATAACCAAAGTGAATAATATTGACACTTAGATATCGTATTACAATAGAATTCAAGATCTATCGAGAATGTTAATATATACACAAAGTATTTTTTTGGTCTCAACAATATCATAAATTGATAAACAAATTGGGTGTGGAAATGTGGGACACATGGTATCCTTTTTTTTAGTTAATGTGGTTGTACGGCATCGTGGACGTGTTTTACTATACCGCAACACCAAAATGACACATAATTCTAAACCATATTTCAAAAAGAGTATTTGTTTCGTTTAACATCACAAAATAATCAGAAGATAAACGTCCTTTCTCAATATACATGAAAAGAAACTACACGTCGAACTTAAGTTCAATTCTTGTTTCAAGTTTGAAATTATTTTGTTACTAGATTTAATGTTTGCCCAAAAAGACTTCTACGGAAAGTTTTGACTGCCTCAAGAATTGTCGTCTCAGGAACGGTCCCAAAGCAGGAAGCGCATTATTTCTGCATCCCGGTAACCTCACAACAGTGACAGAAAATAAAACAATCCTTTGATTTTACATAAATGCTTCAAACCTTACCTTGGCGTAAATGTGCTGTCGCTTTATAAGATCTGGCTTTTACGCTTGCCAAAAACATTTCAAAGTCATCTTCTCCTCCAGCTCTGAAATCCACACAAATATCACAATACATATGCATGTATACCATATCCAGATTATTTAATAGTATTTCAGGATCATTTAATTGCTGAGAAAGATTTACATTTTGATTAAATTACTTTGAAATTAATTTTATCTTAGCGATTGATAGATTTATCGTAAATGAATACCAAACTATATTATTGGTATTTCAGTTAAATAAGTGTTCAAGGCAGTATTATAATCAAGAACATAAAACAGTATTATCTCAATTTTATCTTCCGTCTTGTTTTTTGCACAATCAAACAAGAATAGTCAGCATTATGTTTTAAACATCAAAACTCTTGAATAATTCCTATCAGCAATGTCAAAAATCAGTCGTTGGAGTAAACACGTACATTTCCCATTCCCCTTCGTCATCTCCAACCCAAGACTTTGACTTCCGGTTGGCATTTTTATCACGTGCTGCCGCTTCCTTGGCCCTCTGTAATTTGGCCGTTCTAGCTGCCTCCCTTTTAGCTTCGTAGAATTTTTCTTCTTCTAATCGGAGCTCTTCTTCTCTTTGTGCAAGCTTTTAAATTATCATAACGATGGTAATCTGCTATAATACCTTTATAGTCAAGTTCGCTTTAATGTTTGCGAAAAAAATTATGTTAATAAAACCCTTGCTAATATTAATCATTAAGTTGATTATTTAATATCGATGTGAATATGTAATGTATTGACATCAAAATGCATACCAAATACGACTTTAAAACATTGGATGAAACCACCTAGACTACATGAACTCAAAAAATGGTATACTGGCAAGCATTGTTCACCTGTGTTCATATTGGTACTTTAATAAATATGAAATTCTCTTATGAAAGCGTTATAGCCCGCAGAACTATTCAAGCAATTCCCCAATATTTAACATTTTGCACCGGGGAGTTTAAAATCGTATGACTTGGCCCATGATCACAAGTAACTTAATTACCTATCTCATCTCCGATGCCGAGTACCTATCCTTCCTAACATTGAAAGACACTCTATTCTCTTTCACCGAAACACTGTTTTTATCAAATAACAGTGTGCCATTTTACACAAGTAAATTCTAATGAAAAGTCGATAACATCGGATCACCCACCATTATATGTGGTGTAATATGTGTACATACCTATGTATATGCTCAATATTTGTATCACTAGGTGAGGAGGCCACTTCTCATAATATACTTAAATATATACGGTAGTAATGCCACAAAGAAATCGTGAATAGTCTATCGCTCTGAGACCGTTATATTCGGAGTACAGACAAGGCAGTTGACTGAACAATGTCTCATATAGTCCCATATTGTCACATCGTCACAAATTGATTCAGTCTTTTTCTCAATTCAAGCGTTTACAATTTAAAAAGATAAATGGAAACGTGCTCATTTGTAGAAGTTTGTTTGTCCTCTCACTGCAGGGCATCTATGTTACTTATCAAAAGATATGCCCCTCTACCTGAACGACGGTGTCAATCACCACTGACACTTTTGAAATATCTACATTCAATCTAGCACCACTCTCGTGTTCTCATTGGAAACAACTATAAGATGAAGCAAAATTAAATTAATCAATCCCCAACCTTCATTCAGAGGCTTGAATTGTATTTATTATAAACCTGCTGGAATAATATTTAATTGTCTTATATAATTATTCATTTAAATCAGATGTCGCACAGATCAACATATTCATCATTAACGTTAACGGAAACACAGTAAACAGACATGTGAATTATGGTACGCAAACGCATGTCATCTTATCAGCTAGGGAAGAGGCTGTGTAAGGGTATCAATGATATTTTTAAAGCAAATGATAAACAATTAAAATTAAAAATAAAAAGATAAACATCACATTTCACAAGCAAATTATATATAGTCTAGTGACTACTGAAAATATATATAACTTCACAAATAATAAATAACAACGGGCAAAATACAGAAAAATCAAAATTAGAGAAGATATATTTATATTTTTCCGCTAAACACAAATAGAAAACAGATTTTGTCGGCTGAACATTAAAAACAATTGTTGCCACGCGCAGTACCTTATTCCGCTTAAATTGAAAATGTTTCGATATATGGCAAAGAAAACAGATTCAGTACAAACCTAGTAGGTTTTTTGTAATGTCAAATTGATATATGGCCAAGCATTATCGTTTATACTTTATCTACCACTGCATACCTGTTTATCAATTTTACGATCACGTTCTTTTTGTTCATGTAAGAGTGCGGTGTACTGTTTTGATGCTACTAGTTGTTTTTCCCTCTCGGTCACCAATCTAGCATAAAATAATAAAACAAAACATATAAAAACAGAAAAGTCTGCATATTCACAACACACGCAAACATGCATTTGTTAACATCAGATGCAATCTTCTCTACTGAATAATAAATATACATCATCTATGTTTCAGATGGGCATGGCAGATTACAATATTATCTAATTATTGTAATCGAAAAATTATTAGGCCTCAAAGATAGGGCATTGTCATGAACATACGAGGCCTTCAAACTCTATTCAAAACTCGTTGACATTAAACCCTTTTTTTGATGCATCGGTCAAGGATGTAAGTTTCCGACAAAATCAATCTTCAACGCCATCTTATGAATGTTGCCAATGTTGTAATAATGTTACACAAGATTTTCTTTCAATTTTATTCATATTTTTTTTAACGAGGTCAATGCAGTGATATGTTTATTGTTATAAAGGTAAGAATTGAGACAACCACATAGTATATAACATAACACTACCGAGACGTTTCCTATAGCATAGTCGAGTTCTACCTATCCGACTGGTATTCGAGTGTCTCGAGCTAACCAATGAACTTGAGTAACACAAGTACAATCTATGTCGTTTGAAAACCATATCCAACATTCCCGTCAAACACTTTAAGGCTGTATTTGAGAAATAAGAAATAATGTACAGTCATGTTTACAATGCTAATATATGTTGATACGTTCATTTAACCATATTTAACAACAATGAGCTAAAGATTGTTTGCTGGCACTTCTTTTATATTGTAATGTGACGGTCTATTTAACCATTTATCATGTTTACTTACTGTTAAACGTAAATAATTCCGTTCACAAATAATCGGCCTAGTACGGAAAGGTCTAGCACCTGTACCTTACAAAGTTTTACTGACAAACATCGTAAACATTATAACTACGTTCAACCATGCGAATCGCATAAAATATGAAAATTGACTGAATCAATGAATGCATTATTATAAGATAAGATAGACCAATATTTTAGCCAATTATGTTCTTTTATCATTAACTCCTAAGTACCATTTGCATTTAATATTTATAACGGTGTATTCGAAATCATTAACATTTTCGGCAATTATTTAATTCAAATATAACATTCCACAGGATTTAGATACGGTAGCATTATCAATGAGGTCTTCGTCAGTTCGAAAATATAACGCAAATTTAAAAAGAAATCTATCAATGTAACCAAAGGGTATTTTACAGAAAGTTAATTATCATTAATTTTCAGTCAAGAGATGTTCACTGATTTTTGTCTTGATTATGTCTTAATTATGACTTAATCTACCAACATGTCGTCAATTTACAAACTCATAACATCGCGGTTTAAAAGATGCAGATTGATGGTTGATATGGGAAAGTTTTACAGTCGTCATAGTGATGTCATTTACTTTATTTCTTTGTGCGACATCAAGCTTGACGTGTTAGAAATACGTTAGTTTGCCTGTTTGGCTCCATTGTAGTATACTTTGTTCTCATTTGAGATTTTGATATCATTAATTTGGATGACCAATATTTACATGTGGTTGTCGTCGATGAAGTGACGCTATATCTTCCATAACACGTGGTCTTATTCTCCTTGTACTTTTTCCCCAAACAATACCCGTGTAAAATTGCCTTTAGTTCATATTTTTCATCTAGTTTTATTAATTAGAGCTTGGATTATGATTAAGTTGTCATATTGGTATTTCATACACACATTATGGAAATACTACGTTAATTACTTCGAGAGGCAGAAAGATTAAAGGGCAGATAATTTTGTTTGCTGATAACTACTGCTCCTGTTCCAGTTTTATTTGCGTTAACTAAAGTTTTGCTGCAAAATGAAAGAAAAATGAAAGGTTACAACACACAACAATGCCATGCCAATTACACGTGAATCGTTTACGTATACATACCAGTTTTACATATGATGAAACAGTAAAAGGTCCATTTGTAAGTTCAAGTTGACATCTGTAAGTTTAGTATTACAAATTCTCATCTATATGATATGCAAAAGAAATACCTTTTTCTATCTGCTGTTTTTTCTACATTATAACATCATCCTGTTTGTGACAGGATTTAGTAGTTAAGTTCAGGAATGCATACCCTTGTCAAAATACCAATCATTGAACTGTTTTGGATGCGTTTAGCAACGATAAAACTCTTTATATGTATTACATTTCCCTAAGTTATAAGTCCTGACAGCTTCGTCAAAACTACATTTTCTATTGGAAATGAAAGCATGACATAAGCCATCTAGAGAGGTTTTTTAATATTTGTTTTTGTTCTGTTTCGTTTCAGTTCATATATCGGAAAGATACTGTACATGTTCATGACATGTTCTTGCACCATCACGTCTCAAATACTCATAATTAAAGTATTATTGTCGAGGAATACTAATATGCTCATAAACTGAAATGCTTCTTCAGACATAACTTAAACGTCATGCATGTAATGATCCACTACATAAATGACGTCATTAGTTCACTTGTAATAAAATGTTGGCTTGTAATAATATCTAGCGGACTGTAATTTTCAGAAGTTTCCTATCATTTCAGTTTTTATAACTTCATGACGTCATGTGCATTGTGACATCACCAAAGATGGAGACATTTACTGAGGAAATCGCAAATTTTGATTTCATATCGGTGTAAAATGGTGCTGCTGTCTCGAATGCTATGTAATAAATCGAATCTAACATTGTTTTTGATTTTATACTGAAGATAATAAATCCTCAAGAGTTTTTCATTCGCCAGAGATTTAGTGAAAAGAAAAGTTTTAGACTCGTTTGCAATCTTATTTCAAATGAAAGCTATCAGAGATTCGATCAATGTACCGATATAGATTACTCATACCTGCTCATTTCATCGGCATGGCTATCCTGTAAAGTGAAAAGGCAAGATCAATCAAAACGACAATACAGAACATGAAAAATAATCGGAATTTAAAATAATTGTATTTAAACATTTGTATTCACGCCATTCACGAAACAATCGCTAACTCAACAAATAGGAATGTTACATGTAACAGATAAAATATCAATTATATCGCATTTATTTGCATAAGAGGCGTATTAGCAACAAAACTAGACGTGATACACATGAGCTAATAGTTAATTTATTAAAGCTAAATCTTGATCAAACAGTCTTTAAATCTATATCATCTTGATAAAGCAATAACAAACATAACACCACAATAAAATGCGAGCTGAAGTGAACGCATCATACAACTAATTATAGAGAGGAAGAGGGAATGCTTTCTAAATAAAGCGATAGTTTTATCTTCATCAAGCCAAGATAAGAGAAAGCGGGTGTTATAGTTATAGCATTCGGAGGAACAGAGGTTTGAAGTGCAGTCTTAATAAAATGAGAAGTTATGTGATACAAGCATAACATATAAATGTTAGAAGTCTATCACTGAATACGCTTAATGGAGCTAATGTTGATGCGTAAGACTGAAAGCTTAATGGAGCTAATGTTGATGCGTAAGACTGAGGATTTATATCGATAAAAGATTCTTAATGACAAAATCTAATAAACGAGATTTCAAATGATAGTGACCGAGAAAACTGACTAATTATATTAGTCTGTTTACAATGGGAAATCTGAAGTGTTATCTACACCAAATGAAAGCTTAAGTGATATTATCCAGATAAGTCAAGGGACAAAATAAAAATAACTGATATGTGAGCACTAGAGGGGGTTTGATTGCATCGGATTTAAAACACTTTGTTCTCGAAAGGTATAGATATCAATATTCAATTAAGGGAATCATACCCCCAACGATTTCAAATTAAACATGAAGAAGAGGTTCACTGTGCTCTTGAGAGGATACATCATAAAAAAGGTATAGCAAGAATTAAGAATATATAATCGATTGTTAAATAGAATGTTATATTAGATACATGCATGGAAAGAGGAAGGCTTCTTCTTTTCTACTTACGTCATCCATAAGGTTTTCAAACTGAAAAAGAGAGCCAAAGTATTTTAACATTCAATACAAAATCCCCCATAGAGTCATTTTGAAAATATGACATGAGTAGAAAAGACGGTCATTTGTATAGTAACTATCCTTTTGGACAATTGAACAATACATTCAATTATATTCTACCGTGACATCCTGATATACTACAATACAAAACGGTCCTAATATCTAATACTATTCAATTATGTGCTTGAAAGAGTATGTATAGCGAAAGTGCTGAAAGGTCATTATCATATACATTTCGTATCCAATACAAAGGCATTAGTTAAACTAACGACAATAACTGTTCCCACGACTAAACACACCAAGCCTATCTTTGGTAAGAGAACAGTTAAATGGTACACCATATCATTAACATACACATTCATGATCGATTTTTCATATATCTAATCGAAAGGATATAAATAACTGGGAAGACATGAGAAGATTACAGAGGAAATACTATAAACATTTAGTATCAATCTAATTAGCATCAAAAAATCAGTCGCTGAATACATCATGTAATAAAGCATAATATCTCATTGATAAAACATCAAATCTGAAATACAATTTATAGTGTAACTGCCAGTAAGAAGAGGCATATCGTCCTCGAAAAATAAGAATATTCTGCACAGCAGACCGAAGGATGAGATATCTCTCAGAAAAAATGCAAGAAGGTTTTAGGAACAGATCAAATTACCTTTGACCTGTAGACATAAAGGGCAAACTTATGTGAACAGTGAACAGAGTGTATTACAATACGCTATCTGATGGCCCTTTAGAACATGACTTCTTGCAAGAAAATTAACGTGTGCGTGTAATTATATTTGCAGAAATAAAGCGACCTATGACCCGAAGTACAATCCCATGCGTTCACTTTACACAGGAAAACTGTAAACCGCATACGGGTATCAATATTTCATAAGAACAGTTTTTGCGTGGAAAATGTAAAGTGTGACTATAGGTAATTATATCTATAGTAACAGGTGGCAGGACTATTGAGCAATCAAATAAAAATAGAAGCTACTTCCTGTATATGTACATGTAACAGATCAAGTAACTTTGACCCAAAAATCAAAAAGAAAAAACGTTATTGGACAGAAACCCAACCGAAAGTGTTATCATTTTATTTAAAAACAAATCAAATGACTGTTGACTTACAAACTTGAATCCAAATCGATGCATTCCCTCCTCAAAACGAGATTAATATGATCATGAGGGCCCCTTAAGAACAAGGTACTGTACGAAAACCAAATTAATGTAATTAATGCGATAAGGATACTAGTTGTGGGCATGGCGGGCCAAAACGAGCACATATCACTGAAGCCAAACACGCTAACCAGTTGACAAACGAAGTGACAGACGCACAGAACAACTACAACAGGTCTTCCAACACTTGTGGACGACAGAAATAGTAAATGTAAGAAGAGCTGATATCTTCTTGTGAAAGAATGTTGTAAACAACAGCTATATACTACAAAGGGGTAATGTTTACAATGCTCCAAATAAAGGATATGTATTTCTAACAGACTGAATCGGGACTGTCATAATTATTTTTTGGTCAATAAATTTGACACCGTCATTAGAATCAAAACAAATTTCTCAAGTAAGTACTAGCTCATTAAAAGAAGAAATGATGATGAAAACAGACCCGTTTTACCATTAAATGTTTACAACACATGATACCAAGTGTACCAATGGTACACTATCAACATCAACCTAAAACACTATAATGATCAGCAGAATAATTGGCGCCTGTAACATACATGTCAGAGACATGCAAAGAATCCTATAAAATCTTTGAAAAAAGAGCATTTTGATGTGAGTACCTTGTTTTTTTTCATAACAGTTTGCACTTACAATCAAATTATGATAATTGAACCTAAGTATTGAAAGTATATATTCTGGGGGGGCTCAATTTTCGTTGGTATTCAAATAAGAGGCCCATGGGCCGTAAGGGTCATCTGACTATAAAAGCCTACGTATGAAAGAGGCCAATTATGCCTAAAATAAATTGCTGAACTGCTCTACAGCTGACGTTAGGTTGATTCATAAAGACATTTTCTACAAACTTGAAATCGTGTTCTTTATACATACCCTACACAAATGCCATTACTCCGCACACATTGCTTACTGAAAAAGCAAGCTACGGACCAAATATCAAGACCCTTGTCCTTTTGGATTTTGAGAAGAAGTTGCTTATTTATTTTAACAAATTTGATCCCTACAGGCCGGATATCAGCACCCTGGGCCTTCTGGTTATTGAGAAGCCATTTAAAGATTTTAACATATTATGAATACCCATGTGACCTTGAAAGTGGGTCAGGGTAATTCATATTAACAAACTTGGTAGGCCTTCATCACCTCATGCTACAGGCCTAATATCAGCACTCTGTGCCTTTTGGTTATTGAGAAGTCATTTAAAGATTTTAACATTCTTGACCTCTGTGGCGTTCCAAGCAGGTCAAGATCATTCAATTAACAAACTTGGTAGACCAAGCTTAAAGCACGCTACAGGACTAATATCAGCACCCTATGCCATTTGGTTTATGAAAAAAACGTTTAAACATTTTAACATGGTTGACCAATGTGGCCTTGAAAGCGCGTCGAGGTCATTTATATAGACAAATCTATTAGCCCTTCATCTTCGCAGGCTGCAGGCCTAACATCAGCACCCCGAACCTTCTGGTCATTGAGAAGAAGTTGTTTAAAGATTTTAACTTATTGGACCCCTGTGACCTTTAAAGTTAGTCAATGTCATTCATATTGACAACTTGGTAGCCTTTTATCCTATCATGATATAGACCCAAAATCAGTTCCCTTAGCCTTCTGATTATTAGCCCAATATCAGTCCCCTGAGTATTCCGGTTATTAGGCCCAATGACAGTACCCTGAGCCTTCTGGTTATAAGGCCCAATAACAGTACCCTGAACTTTCTGGTTATTGAAAAGAAGTCATTTGAATGGAACGTTTACGTACTGCGGACGGCGACGGACGATACACGATGGCTATAGGTCATCCTAACCCTGCGGGTATACCGTTTCTCCCGGTTACCCTACTTTCTTCGCCCAGTACTTTTAAAAGTGGACTTTCCCGCTTGTTTGCATTAACAAACAAATGAAAACCATCCAGTTTTGAGATCGGGTAATGACCAGGTACTTTTATATCAAATATTGTACACTGACTGACGTCAGGTGATATGAAAATATCTTCTGTAGTTCAAACAATCTTTTAAAAATCCTCTATTCAGGTTACACAAATGATCAAATTCACACATGCCACACAGAACAAAAACAAGTCACGTGACATATGAGTCTCTACGCTATAAATATTTTTTGCGAGTTTGTATGAGAACAGATTTAAGTCCATCTCGAGACATAGCGTACATGAAGCATCAACAGGGTTATTACAGCAACGGACCATTATAAAGCGAAAATAACCAGCAATTACTACACCAACGATGATGTAAATCCCTGAAAATGACGGAGATATAATCAATTTGGTTTTTTGTTTTTTAAATGTTTTTTCTTATCAAGGATGTATTTAATAGAATTATGAGTGTATAAATCAGAAGAATCCCGACTTAACTGTAAACAATGTTATTTGGCGATGCTTCTTCCTGGTCCAAGCTTGGACTATTAGTGGTCACATTGGCACTAGCGTTATATATTACCGGCTATGCAACCGGCTCATGGATGGTGGAAAGGACAATTCGAGAAAATGTTGACGTAAATGTTGGATTATGGAAAATGACCAACTGTTCCGTTAGCTGTTACGAGAGTGATGTTCCTGACGTTTACGCCACAAGTAAGTAGTTAATTGTTGATGTAGAAAAAAATCAAAATAATAAATAGCAATACAGATTGACAAGTAAATTATACTGAAAACGGATCACCGATCCCCGAAAAGAAATAAATTAGTGAATAAGACTGGTAAATATCTTCTGATAACCAATCATTAAAAAATTACGACAAACGAGTTGAAAAATTGTCGTTTCGGACAATTTTTGATGTTTAGGGACTTGTCACGAAGATGTTTTTAAAATGAATCAATATGAATACTAATTGCGCAATCAGATAACGATAGAAACTGAATTAGTGTCTAGTTTAAGCGTCCTTCCATTCCATCGCGTGCCGCATCGAATTAATATCATATTTTGAGAGCCTCTCAACAGATTTCATTAATATTTACCCTATGGGTCATAAGAGGTTCTACACCTGTTCCGATTCTGCTTTGCACAGAAACGATGGCTTTTTAGGCATTGGTCATATTTCATGATAATCTAACAATAATGAAAACAATTTTATTAATTTTATAAGGCAGCTAAACCGTCTTCTAGTATACTCTGTAATCATAAATCATTGACCTCTTGAATGATAGCCCACCCTTAAAATTCTGGATATACATACGTTTTAGATCCGCTACCATTATCGCTTCAAACGCATCCTTAACATTGAACGGTAATATTCTCAAAACGATTGAAATCAATTCCTAACACACAGATTCATTACAATTTCTCTTTCATTCCTCATTAAAATCCACAAGTGACTAGACTTTTTTATGACTTGGTTGATATCACTTCATATTAATCATTTTATCCAATCTATTAATGAATAGATTATCAGTCATATGGGTATGAAATATGACACATTTCGCCACTGTCCCAAACGTGTACAATAGCTGACACTAATTTTCCCGATCTATCACTGAGTGTAGGCATAATAGGCATAAGAGAATATCAACACTTTACATGAAAATGATATTAAACTCTGTTTAATTTAAAATTGAAGCGAAATGCTCAAATGCGTTCAGGAGGTTTAGAGGACTGGCATCGATCATACGGATTATTCAATTAATCATTGGAAAGAATTCACATTTAGAGTAACGTTACAATATCTCTACATTTAGTGATAAATCTTACAAAAAACCAGGGAGGACAGCATATATCTATAAACAGCATCTTATTTACGAGTTCGTCTGTATAATTGATAATGATGTCATCTATGCCCAATGTTTACTTTCCAATGCTGTCCGTCAGCCCCGAATCTTTTTACAAAGTAATCACAACATAACTGTCTAGAAAAGAATCCTTCAAAGTCCTCTTTTCAAAGAATTATCTATAAATTGACATATTGGACCATCCAAACATGTCCAAGAACGACTGGAACCTCCGAGTTTTTCTTCTTAAACAATACATTCTGAACTAATTCAGCGATAGCGGTAAATAAATACAGGACATCGGTGATGCAAAGTATTTTTTTTTTTTTTTTTTGAAAAGCATTACGTAGTCAGTGGAGTTTTGGACATTTCAATCCAAGAGCCGAGGAGCGTAGTTCGATACCTTCAGGGATAGATTTGTGTCAATGGATATAAAGGAAATGTAATAGTGTCTTCAGTAATATCTAATATATTTCACCAGGGTGGCTAGTAATATTTTAGTATTTTCAAGAGTGCGCAGCACTAGTGAAAGATACAAAATTATTAGACACACGAGTGAAACATATTTGTTATTACATTTTCACAAGTAAAATAGCCAAATTACTCGCATATTTAGAACAGATTATAAAACGAGGTAGCTGAATAGGCTTTTCGCGGACACTACTCGCTCATGATAACTACGCAGTATGCGAAAAAATGTAGTCCGCTTTTAAGAAATTGTTTGATATATAAACACACAAAAAAATTCAATGTACATTCATGTTCATATTACATAGAAAATGTAACTTGTTCATGTCACTAACAGACAAAATTTGCTGTAAAACATTTAGAGACTTTAGCCTGTGATAAATTACTACGCGACCGTAAATAGGACGGCAACCTACGACTGTCGTTGTTGATGACACGAATCCATTTGAAATGTCAAACGTGTTAGCTCCACATTCAAGACTTTCGGTTTGGGATTGGGTTAGATAAGGTAATTTGCGTTGCATTTTCTACTAGCTTTATGGAAATGAAAGTTTACCATAGAATTGAAAGTCGTGTTACGAGTAAACAACCCCTTCAGGTCTGTTTGAGGTTGTTTTTACCGGGCTTTACAATTTTTCAATTTTTAAGATGATTTGTGTTCTCTCTTTGCATTGGTGTAAGTCTGCAAAAGTGACATGTTTAACTAGTGGCTAGTGAAAAATAACAAAAAATAGGTATTTCTCTATATTTCCAGGCAGAAATATGATAAATCCTGGGGCAAAACACTTAGCTCCATTTCGTTTCGGATAACATCCGATTGGCTTCCTGTATGTTTTCCAATAATTTAGTGTCCAGTTATTTAAGGAGACCCCACCTCAAAATTATCAAGACTTTAGAGGAAACGAGAAACACCAAACAAAATAAGAGGCCCAGTGGCCTTAACGGTCATCTGACTATAAAGACCTATATATGACACTTGGGCCTTAACGGTCATCGGACTATAAAGACCTATATATGACACTTGGGCCTTAACGGTCATCGGACTATAAAGACCTATATATGACACTTGGGCTTTAACGGTCATCGGACTATTAAGACCTATATATGACACTTGGGCCTTAACGGTCATCTGACTATAAAGACCTATATATGACACTTGGACCTTAACGGTCATCGGACTATAAAGACCTATATATGACACTTGGGCCTTAACGGTCATCTGACTATAAAGACCTATATATGACACTTGGGCCTTAACGGTCATCTGACTATAAAGACCTATATATGACACTTGGGCCTCAACGGTCATCTGACTATAAAGACCTATATATGACACTTGGGCCTCAACGGTCATCTGACTATAAAGACCTATATATGACACTTGGGCCTTAACGGTCATCTGACTATAAAGACCTATATACGAAAGAGGCCAAATAGGCCTAAAGTAAATTGCTCAGCTACTCTACAGCATACAAATGAATAAATTGTTCACATCACCGTAAGGTTTTTGGTTATTGAGAAGAAGTCATTTTAAGATTGCTACATATTTGACAACTGTGACCTTGAAAAATGGTCAATAATATGAACAAACTTGGTAGCCCTTCATCCTATCATGCTACAGATCGATTACAAACACTCTGGACCTTTTGGTTATTGAGAAGTTGTTTAAAGATTTTTACACATTTGTCCCCTGTGACCTCGAAAATGGGTCAAGGTCATTTACATTTACAAACTTTGTAGTCATTAATTCTTGCATGCTACAGGCTCAATATCAGCACCCTGGACCTTTTGGTTTTTGAGAACAAGTCGTATAAAGATTTTGACATATTTGACACCTGTGACCTTGAAACTAGGCCAAGGTGAATAATATGACCAAACTTGGTACACCCAATATCAGCACCTGGAGCCCATCAGTTATTGAAAAGTAGTTTAAACATCTTAACAGATTTGACACCTATGATCTTGCAAATGGGACATTTGGGTCATTCATTTCAACAAACTTGGTAACCATTCACCCCATCATGCTACAGGCCCAATATCAGCACCCTGAGCCTTTTGGTTATTGAGAGGAAGTTGTTCAAATATTTTAACATATTTTACCTCTCTGACCTTAAAACAGGGTCAAGATAATTAATGTTAGGAAAATTGGTAGCCCATCCTACCAGCATGCTACTGGTCAAATATCAGCAACCTGGGTCTTTTTGTTGTTGAGAAGAAGTCATTTTATTTGAAAGTTCACACATGGAGCATGATTACGTATAAAACAAAATGGCTATAATTGGTCGTGACCCTTCAGGTCAGATGATTGAAAAGTAAAGTAACAAATCAAGGGATTCGACCATTGACCCAAATTCATGGATGAATTGAAGTCTTACCAAAGGGTTTTGTACACATTAGTATGTCATAGTTGTCTTACTAAATACATTTGTAATATTTCAACAGACAGGAGGGAAATCCAGAACAAAGAGTATAATCATTGCTGTGCTACATGCTCCTTAATCATTACGAAACTTCAAACGATTTTCTAGATTAGTTATTTCAACAGTCCAGGAGAGATTGAGCTTTTACTCACGTCTAGTTTATCATTTACTATATACATGTTTCTAATTAAAATTTTGTATTGAAAGTTGCATTCGCTTATGTATGTGTCTTTAGTACAATGTTTAACTTAATGTATCAATTTTTGTTGTCTGTTAAGTGTTCTTTATCGATAAGTTAACGCCTCTACATAACTTAGTGTCGGTAGATCAGCTATCACCTTACAGTGTTTCAAAGCAATACAGCAATATTTACATAAACCTACTCCTCTAAATTCTTCTTTTCGATATAAGGATCATTTAAACTCTTTTGTTATGTTTTCAATACATTTACATTATTAATTCACTCGGTATCATCGTTGAAGTATCTATTTAAATGCATGTATCAAAGTTCATATTTCAGGGTCAGTTCTAGAGTGTGAACTAATATGTCGTGTTATTCCACTTTTCCAGTGAAAAGGACCAATGACAATCAGTTTTATAGAATAGATATTATAAAATAGAATCGAAAGTACTGAAAGCAAAATGGGAAATACAAATCAAAAGGTCAAGGTCCCATGACCTCATTGTATACCGTCTTCTATCAAGTCATATACGATGGTAACAAGAGTACAGTTTCTTAGCATCATGTCAGTGTTAATAACATCAGATATATCCCAACCCCACCCCATTTCTAAATCTTGTTGGCTGAATCATCAAAGGAAAGAGTACAAAACGACCCAGTAATAATCTAACTTAGATCAGTTTAATGTTTTGTCCTTCTAAGACACGTCAGTGGTGCCAGAGCATTGTGTTAAAAACCAGAGAGAACAGAACAAAAAGTTGAAAATGAATGAAAATGTGCACTGTGCAATACATCTATAA